ACAATTACATTTCTCATTGGGAATTGTACCTTTAAATCTGAGTTTTTATTAAAAAAAATTTTTTTTGAGACAGGGTCTCACTATGTAGTTCAGGCTGGCCTTGAACTCACTATGTAGCCCAGGCTGACCTCAAACTCAGTGATCCTCTTGTCTCAGCCTCCTGAGTGCTGGGATTACATACATGGGCCACCACACACGGCTAAGAAAGGTTTTATTGACAGAGTACAAGACAGGCTATGAAGCAAAATTAGAATATTCTGTCTTACAGTAGATGAAAACAGAAAACAATGTAGGCCTAGATATTATGCTTTTTATCACTCACATCAGAAAGTGAAGTTCTGTCAGGAGAGATTTAAAAGCTAATGGAAGAGTCAATAATCCTTCAGCATTTAAGAAATCCCAAATTATATGTGTAAAAATTCCTTAAAAAGTTAAAAATTTAAAGCTGGGTATGGTGGCACACGCCTGCAATGAGGTTCCGGGAGTTCGAGGCCAGCCTGGCCTGCATAGTGAGACTGTCTCAAAAAGCAAAGAGACAACAAAGAGTTAAAAAATAAAAAATTTGATAGGCTGATATTTCCAAATATTTGATTTTAAAAATAAATTGTGCATATTATTCCCTTCATTTTTTTTTTAAAAGATGCCCTTAAATAAAATTAATTCATTAGTTTTTATTTGAGGGCTTCTAGAAAAACATGGGATAATCAATATGCGCACCGCATATATAAAAGCTCTACATTTCATTTTATACCACATTCACCTATTTAAAAGGCGAAGTCCATGAATAGCTCAATGACAGGCATAGTAAGCTCAGCCAGGACTCAGAAACCAACTCAACTTGATTATTTCATGGGCACCATGAGTCATCCAATGCCCACCTTTAATAACTAAAGTAGCCATAAAATAGGCCGATGATCCCTTTACTCCAGCGATAACACAATCCTCGGTCTTATTGTGAAGCACAAGTCATTATGGGTGGGGCACGGGCACAGAGCAGCTGAGACAAAAATTTTTGGACCGCCCCCCCCTCCACTGGGACAGAGGGGCTCGAACAAGGTAAGAAGGAGAGATCTCAACCTCCCGGTCCCGCCAGAAATAAAGCAGTGCTGATGTGGCCGTGGTAATTTCTGAGATTACAAAAAACATTTCTCCGAGGTTAAATTCTAGCCTGGGAAAGAAACTGTTCCTTCCTCCCCTTCCCTGGCGGCTCCTCCTCGGGACACTTGGCTGAATCTTTCTTTCCCTCCTTCCCACACTGAGGTGAGGCGGCACGCAGGTCGGGGACGCCTGTTTTTCTCGGCGCGTGGAGCGAACGCTGCGGGTAGGCAGCCGCGGAGGCGGGAAGGGAGCGGGCGGCTTGGTGGAGAGGAGCCGAAGGCTCGCCGGGGCCGAGCGAGGGTAGGGGAGAGGACGACGCGCCGGCCGCCGGGCCGAGGTGACGAGGAAAACCTCTAGCGCCAAGCAGGGACTGCGCGCTTTCGGCTGGCCGCGGTCGCTCTCCGCCTGGCGCGGCCGGCGCTCTGGGCCCTAGCCGGGCCGGGTAGGGAGTTAGGGGAGGGGGTAAACCGCGGCTCGCACTTGCCTGTGAGTGGGTGACCAGTAACTGGTAGTAGTCTTTGCTGGGCGCCGGGCCTTGTCCTACAGTTTCGTACAGAGTCTCCGGCAGCCACGACGCCATCTTGGGACGCCACCGCCGTCGCTAAGACAACCAGGAAGGGGCGGGGTTCGGTGGGGTCAGGGGGTCAAAGCCCTAGTTAACACCGAACCCTGCTTTTGCGCTGTCGGGGAGGGGGTTGTAATTCAGAGAGATAGTTTCGCCTTCCAAGGCTCCCGAGGAACGCTTGTGGGTGAAATTTCGCGGTCCAGGTCCTGGGTGACCCGAAGGGGAATTAGTTCCTGCTGCCACTGAGGGGAGGGGGTGACCCCGGCGGAGGGATACGGAGCGGAGCCCCACAGCCTCCTTCCTGGTCCCTCGCAGGGAAAAGGGAGAGATCGGAGGCCGCGGGAGAGCGGTGCCTGGCGCTGGGCAGAGAGGGGCGATGTGTGATGGGCCGCGAGTAGGAGCGGGGCCGGTCCCGCGGACCAGCCGGCGGCTGCGCCGGGGCCGAAGTAGTCCCGCGGAGCCTGCGGGCGGGAGCGGCGCGGCGGAGGCGCACGGCGGCCGGTGCTGCGGCTCAGCTGATAATTGAAGGCACCGAGCAGCCGCCGCGCCGCGCCGCCGCCGGGGGGGTGGGGAGCCGGGGAAGTTGTCGCCGCGCCGCCGAGTCTGCACCGGAGACTCTGGGGCCTAACTAGGTAACCGGGGCGCAGTCGCGAGCGGCGGGGCCGGCCCGGAGGAGGGGGCCCGTGCGGGGTGAGGGTGACGGGGGAGGAGCCGGGACAGAAAGTCCCAGGAAGCCCGGTTGTGTCATCGCCGCGCTGTGGCCCCCGCTCGGCCTGCTCCCAGCGGCGGCGGGGCCGCGGAAGGACCGGGCCGGGGCTCGACGGGCGAGGCGCTCGAGGCGCACGGCGCCCGGAGAGGACGGGGCGGCGGGAGCGCGGGGGGCGGCGGATCCCCCTCGGCCCCTCGCTATGAGGAGGGCCCTTCGCGGAACCGGGGTGAGACGTGTGAGGGTTTCGAGCCCGGCGGGGGCTGGGGGGCCGGAAGTGGGCCGGGGAGCTTGGAGGGCGTCTAGGAGGCGAGAAAGTGGGGGGCCGGAAGTGCAGGTGGGGTGTGTGAAGACGGCAGGGTTCCCCGGAAATGGGACGGGGCCCGGAAACCGGGAGAGGGGAGGCTCCGGGCTGGGAACGGCCCGGAAATGGAAACTAGGGAGCAGCTCGAGTGACCACAGTTGTGGGAAGCGAGGGTCTGAGGAGGGAGAGGCCGAGGGACTTTAGACCGCAGTAAGGGGCTTCCTGCCGGGGATGGGTCGGCGGCGGGCCGAGGGCGGACGGCGGGGACGGAAGAGGCCGGGAAACTTGGCCGAAGGACCAGCATCCTTCCAGAGCGCGCGGCTCGGGAACTGGTGGACGGGGAGGCGATTTGGGACTTGCTGGAGGGCGGTGGGCCAGTTGTCACCCCAATCGTATTAGCAGTCAAAGCGAGTCGGGCGATTAATTTATTTATATGTGGATTACATAAAACCTATTAGAACGTCTGTCCCGTCCGTTCAACCCCTCTCCTCCTCTGGGGTTCTACGACAGAAAACAAGTTAGAAAAGGATTTCAAATCAGGGAGGCTGTAAAACCCCCAAACTTGGCTTTTCCTTCTCTCTTCTCAGAATCCGAGAAATCCTTAATTAGGTAGAAGGGAGGAAATCCGTCAAAATTTAAGAACACATGCACTTGGCGGGGGGGTGACTTACACCTTTGCATTTCTGGTGGGGGTCGGAGGAAATTGGTTACCCTGGTGTGGCGCGGGGAGAAGGGGAAGGGGCTGCTGCTTCCAAACCCTGAAGACAGATTTGTTTTTGATAATGCCGTTGTACTTTGTCTGGGGGGAGGCGTGGGTCAGTCCTCGCGTGGGGGGGGGATTGTTTGCTTCGTGGTTAATTGGGGGAGGGGACGGATCTGTGTGCGTGGGGCGGGGGTTCAATTGAGCGCTCAGTGGTTTGGTTCGGGGTGAACATCTAACTACTCTCCCGCTGTCTTCCTTCCTAATGGGCGCTCCCGATCTCGCCTCGGCTGCCAGATCACCCGATCTCCAGGCTTTCCTCCGTTTTGTAGGCCCCTTAGTGGTGTGTTTTTAACTTTCTCTTCCTCTCGAGAGTCTCGTTAGATATTTTTGGCGTTTCATTTAAAGACCTGGCAAGTTGAGGCTCAGAATCTCTTCTCTAAGAACAAAACAAAAATGCATAGTTAGAAAGTTGAAAGAGCTATTGAGTGAGATAAAACACCGACGCTGGGAACAAAGGTCCTAGTTGTGTTAGGGGAAAAAAAGGCAAGAGGCCTGTATATGAGGCCTTGTGTGTGTGTAGTATTTACACGGGCGGGGGGGCAGTTAGGTTTGAGGAGCAGAGTTATCAGAGGCTTAGAGACGATAAATTGTAGGGGGGTTTATTGAGGCCTGTTTTCATGATACAGCATGCAAACCGATCAATATTCAGTGTAAGTTTTAGAGTAAACACAATTTCTGATTCACTCCCTGCTTTGTATTCAGCCCCAGAAATACTGAGCTGGTGTGAGTTTCTGTCCTCTTTGCTAGATTGGGGCTGTTTCCTTTCATTTATTTTAAACCTAAAAGTACATTAGTATGGCTGGGGTGGGTGGGCTTTGTATATATCTGTCTGCTAAGGTACGAATACCGTAAGAATTGAGGAACTATAATTAAGACTGTCATTATTTCCATCTGCTCCCCAGTTTTTTAGGCATGTGAATGATTAAGTCTGCTCAGCTGACATTTACTATTTAGTTTGCCTGTGGTCAGTCATTTTGTTTTAGTTTTTTTCATTTATTTCTAAAAGTTTAAAAACTTGGCATTTAGAGTTCCAGAAGGTGCTGTAGTAAAATTTTCATATTTCAAAAATCGACAGTGTTCAGTAGACCAGGAGAAAATAAGTGCTTTTATCCAGCAAAGTAAATTTGGAGTAATGTTTAATTTTCCATTCTAACTTTTAAGATTGCATATCTGGATAAGGTATTCGGATCCTAAAATTTTAAGGATATCTTTCTAGTGAAGATACAGCACTAGGTTGCAAGATCATTCACTGCCAGTAAGTATCTGTGACCTTGAGCTGGTCACGTAACCTATCTGGTCTTCATTTATCTGTAAAATGAGGAAAGGGAATTCCTCTATTACCTTTCTAAATGATTTTGAGAACTAGCATATAGAATAGTTGTGAAAAAACTCCAAATGGTACATAAGTACAAGATGTTAGTTTTTTGTTTGAGTCTCACTGTGTAGCCCAGCCTGACCTTGAATTCTTTTTTCTTTTTTTTGTTAGCGGGGATTGAACTCTGAACCTTGCACTTGCAAGGCAAGTGGCGGAACCACTGAGGTAAATCCCCGGTCCTGACCTTGGACTCTTGATCCTCTTGCAAGTGTTGGGATTACAGATGTGGGCCACTAGGCCCAGTTTATTGTTTTAAGAAATTACATTAGGATTTGTGTGTGTGTGTGTGTTGTGTGTTGTTGTTGTTTTAAAGACAGGGTTTCACTGTGTATTTCAGGCTGGGCTTGGACTCATTATGTGCCTCAGGCTGGCCTTGAACTCTTGGTAATGCTCCTTCCTCAACCTCCTATAGACATGTACCACCACATCCAGCGTTTTTCTGTGTTTTGAGTCAGATTCTGGGTGAATTGCTCCGGCTGGGCTCAAACTCGGGATCCTCCTGCCTCAGCCTGTTGGAGTGCTGGGATTACAGTCATGCCCTACCATGCCCGGTTTAGAAAATTACATTACCTATGTTGAGATTACGTAAAAAGATACAGCTTCTTACCAGTGGTGGTGATTATCATTGGTAAGGTAGGTTGAAGATATGAAGTACAGCACTTTATAATTAGAAGTTGCAGCTTGACTGGTAGTAGAAATTGGGCCCAAATGTAACTTACATTTAAAAAAAATTTTTATCCACATGTGAGGTACTCTTTTTTTTTTTTTTTTTTTTACATATTCCTACTGAATAAACTTGTTAATCATATTTGGAGAAACTTCATCCAAATTTTTTTTTTTTTTAAATCAGGGTCTCAATTTGTAGTTCAGGCTGGCCTTGAATTTGAGGCAATCCTATCTCAGCCTTCAAAGTGTTGGGAGTACACAGGCATGTGCCATCATGTCTGGGAGCATTTGACTTTTCTAATGTCATTACAGTTCAGGAAAAACATTTCTTGTTTTGTTTTCTTTTGTTTTGTTTTTTGGAGACAGTTTATGTAGCTAAGGATGGTGTAGAATTCTCTATTAAAGCCTAGGCTGGTGTTAAACTTGAGGCAATCCTCCTGCCTCAGCCCCCCAAGTGCTGGGATTACAGGCATGAGCCAACACACCTGGCAGGGAAAAATATTTCTGAATCTTGGTCCCTGTGTTTAGTTTACAGAATCTGGGGAGCTTTTTCACTTCCTTTCAAGTGGATGAGGAGGAATCTTTTTGAGCAAATGTGATACTAGTTGCCTCTATTTTTCCCTGTTTGCAGGGGTAATTTGATGAATTCACATCAAAACAGCAACTTGCTTGTTGGTTTTCATCAAGTTGCCACTTGCTTTTGCCAAACTGATACACACTTTTCCCTCATTACAGGCACCTGCTATGGACAGAGTAACCTAGTAGCCACAGAATTGAAATAACTTCACCTCATCTCCAGCGCACTTTCTCAAGCTTGTGCTCTATGACTTTGTCCCTTGTGTTTCTGGCTGCTTATATAAGCCCCGTTTCTGGGTTACAGCGCTGTGTTGTTGACATGTGTTGCTTTTGTTTCCCCATCTGGGTCTTAACCTTCCTGAGTGTAGAGATTATCTCATATTATTGCGCGGTATGCGTGAAGGTGCACTCACAAACTTGACTGAAAAATAATCCCTGTTTTTTGTTTGTATGGATTTTTTTTTTGAGATAAGGTCTCACTGTGTAGCCCAGGCTGGTTTAGAACTTGTGGCAGTCCTTCTGCCTCAGCCTCTGAGGCTGGGATCACAGGCGTGCGCCAGCACCCCTCATCTTGTCACATAAACAGCCTGTCTTTGGTTTGGACGGGCTTTTAGTGTTCACAGATTCTTCAGAGTGCTTTGTGTGGCTCGATTGCATGATGGTGGTCTCTGCATCTCCTTCAGCTAGTGTTCCATCAGGGTGACTGGATCGATGTAAATTGTCACCCCATGTTTCAGGAGTCAGCTGGGGAATCCTGTGCCTCCTTTTCTATAGGCCAAGCTAGAGTTAACAGGGGGTACAGGCCAGAGAAGGTGGAAGAAGAATAATCTGGTGGAAATTACACAACAAATTAATTTGTAGATGGTTGTATAATTTCAGGGCTTATAGGTTTTAATGTGTAATGTAAGTTTTACATTTGTGTTCTCGCAGTTGTTCTTTGCATGCTCTGCCAGTCCGCTGTGCTACTGTGTACCTAGAGGGTGCTTGCTGTTC